TATTATTCATATTCTTCTAACTTTATCTGTTTCTAAACATGCCCGGCTACAAGGGGAGTGGGCCTAAGGAATTTCCTTAGGGCCCCACTTTGAGATGGACCCCATTTTTTAATGTTCTTTTAAAAAAATATAAAGTTAAATATTTATGTGAGAAATACAGTGTTTAAAAAAATTGAGACCTAAAGTATAAAATTGAAAGTATTGTGATCTACGTAGTATTTAATATTTTTATAATTCAATAAATCATTAATCAGTAATCACTATCCATTAATATTAGTTTCCATTGATAACTTCAGCTACCAACCATCTCATGAACTTCATTTGTAATATATAATATTAAAATTTAATTGCATACAATTAAAAATAAATCGATATGAAGTAGGACCAAACAAGAATTCAAAAGTGACAGTAATAACTTATTTGCATTAAATTTGATTGATCAATTTTAATTTCATTAACCGCATCTAGCTAGTTGGGGGTTGATCTTGCTTATTTTCCGACATACGTCAGATAATCTCCACCAACACACCAAGTGACTATGTGAGAGACTAAAAAATACCCAAGAGTGAATAGTAGGTAATATTCACGATTAACAACTTGGGGACGATTAATATAAAAATATACATGGATGTAACCGGAGAAGCGCATACTCTTCCTCCGGGCTCAGGAGCAAACCATGCTCTCTCCGGCATTTGTAGTACATTAGTCTTCGTCCTTTGGGACGTCGCAGCAGCCTTCGAGAGGTCATAGGAGTGCCTCCGATTCTTATTGTGTCCGCGGTGATCGTGGTCGGGCCGTCGGGGTAGTCATCGTGGCCGTGATTCTAGAAAGCAAGCATATGACAAAAGCATATGCTATGAAACTTCAAGCCCAGTGTTACAAGTGATAAGTCAAATTATTTTTTGTGACTTCAAATTAGCATACTAAAATTGGACATGTTTTCATATAATCAATTCATAAACGTTTTTGTTGTTCTTATTATCTACTTACGGAGTACTATGAACGATATCAGGTATACCATTTTTTCTTTAACATTCATTCATATCATTTTAATATCATATCTTTGTCTAGTTTTGAACCTGAAGTGGAAATTGTTATCACATAAATTCTCACTCTCAGTCTCTCACCGCTAATTCAACTTGTGTATCCTCCAACGTTGTTGATGATCACATTGAGATTTATATTTTTAAATGTATTTAATGCATTTCTCAACCAAAAAATGGAATTTCTCTATTAAAAAATGTGTTTTTTTAACAACCAAGAAAATCATCCGCCTGTTAGCGAAGCAGGTTGTCTGATTTCTTACATTTGATGTCGTAAATGAGAGTTTTGATGGTCATTTACTATTAAGGGGATGCTTGAAAATTGTAGGGGATTTGTGGAGTACATGAGGAATACCCTCCCAAATAGAGTAAAAAGAAGCTCTTACTACATGTATTCTCAGTAGCAATGATGATGACTTATGAAACTCCTGCTTAGCGATTAAATTCCAGTACAATTAATAATAGTCAAGTTTGAATTGCTAATAAAAAATACCATTGGAACAAAACATAAACGTTTGACTACACCTTACTTGTTGAATGACAAACCATTAAACCTCTTCGCATAACATATAGGCTATCATTAACAATGTGATATAGCATTGAATCATTGACATTTAGCAGTTCTTATGAAAAAGAAAAGGCCATTAGGGGAATTGGAGTGGTAGATATACTCGATCCCTACATCCCGATTAATGATTTTTCACTTGCCGCTATTGAACGTCCCAAGTAGAAGTGTCTGGTTCCATTTTAAGATATAATTACCTTTCTTAAATGATAGCATTATCATCACATTTTAAAACTAATTGACTCATAAATATCACTATTTTAATAAATTACCTCATTATATTATATATCAACCCAAGCTACTTCTCAAACTATATTTAAATTATTTTATTTAATTATTATCCAAATACATATATGTCATCATTATCCAAATAGCAGGCTAGCTATAGTAGCACTCGCAATTTCACATACATCCTGTTACCCATTTAACCATAACAAATCAATCATTTGTTTCTGCAATTTCTTATTTCTCATTCCCTTCGTATCAGAGTAAGTGTTGCAATTTTTCACATACTTCAAGTAAATGTCATAGATTTATTGTTCACTATAAAGAGTAAGAGATTTTTTTTGTAATGTAACAATATTATATACTTTATTAAAGTGTATTAAAATTGCTTTTAGAGTAGATTTCTTTCCCAAAATGCAAATGGAACAATTAATTTAATACAACCCAAAAAATAGATACAGCTGAGGGAGCAGTTAAAAAAAATAGATAATGCGTTTTTGTGTGGCATAGGGTGGGATGTTGACCGCTCCACACTTGAATACTTAACCTTTGACTTAACTATGACCACTTTTTCTATACTTACGTTCATCAAGCAGAACTTTTTATAAACATTAATTTTTTACTGCAAGTGCTAACCATATTAACGATGGGGAAAAAAGCAAGGAACAAGGTAAGATGAACATTTTAGCAGTTCTCTTTAATTCATCAAAATGACTTTCTTTGCAGTTTAGCAAATTCAGCCACTTGAACTGTTCTATGTCTTACCAAACAGCCGCTAATTTGTTCAGTCATGATGATAGCATCTCCAAACAAATATAATGTCCTTCCACAACATCTCCTAAGTATAAATCAAATCTCTCCATGTTATATTATAATGGTCACGGACGGCATCATGGACACAATGGCCATCGTTCCAACGCTAGACACCCTCATCACCATACATTGGAACATCGACTGCCGGCGGTACCAAGGTCCAAGGGTGCCTGGAAATGGGTGAAGAGAGAGATTTTGAGGTTCAGGAGTATGTGGTTTGCTTGTTTGTGTCTCCAAAGAGGTGAGGTGGTTACGGAGTTACCCAAATGCCAGCAATCTTTTCATGCTCCTTGTACTCACATATGGCTACTTGGACGAGTTCCCCTCTGCTGGTAACCAACTAGAGACACACCATCGGCTATTGACTACACCAGAAGGCATAACAGTCTTGGGACTTGGGCAATGCTTGACTGATTTAAACAAGTTCCACTGAAGAAGCTACAGGACTAAATGCCCGTTTGGTAATAGTAAACAAGTTCTAGGGAATAAGCTAATGTGATCAAGGTTGTTAAACTCGAGATCCTAGCTCGGATCGGGTAGGGGCAAGGAGATCGTAACTCGTGGATCGTAACTCGGATCGTAAGATCCTAAAAACAAAGATACCATGTGTGTGTGTGTGTATATATATATATATATATATATATATATATATATAGGGGTGAGATCACATACTAACCATTCCTCCCATGCTAACCTACAAACTATCAAAAACGGTGCATCTTTACATTATTTGTACTGCATATTGAAGTTCAAAGTGTTGCATATTATTTGTACTGCATATTAAAGTTCAAAGTTTTGCATATTGTTTTTATTGCATATTGAAATTCACAGTGTGCATCTTTACATTATTTGTACTGCATATTGAAGTTCAATGTGTTGCATATTATTGAGTTAGTAAGTTAGTATTTTAAGCATGGTTAGTATGTGATCTCTTATCTATATATATATATATGTCTGACACACGCACACTATATATATTTAAACTTAAAACTTTTGAAATATGAATAACATAATGTCATTTTGAATTAAAAGTTTAAAACACTTAGAACTTCTGGGAGTCGGGGACTCTTCCAGAACCACTTGAAGAACAGATTCAACAGAACAAAACACTGTAAAGTCTAAACAGAGAGGGACGAAGAGAACTTTATGTGGATGATAGAAAAAATATTAGACGGAGAACTGATGGACAGACATGAGTGCGACACTCCCCAGCCTTTTTATAGAACTGATTAAGTGAAGAAGAAGAAGAAGGTGAGTCGCTATGAGTCTGGTTGCCGCTCAGGTATGTCGATAGGGGAGTTGTGTTGCGTAAATGTTTTTCTAAATTCAAAATTTGGGTCCTTTTCTATTTCCAACTCGCAGTCGTTTGGGTTTTCCGACAAGTTGGGTCATAGCCTCTCGCTAAGGCATGGATGACGAAGATCGACATAGATCGACGATTCTACGAGCTTACGATCTTACTCGACGATCCGTCGAGTTTGATGAGATTTCCGATCTTTTGTACGATTCACCTCGTCCCTGGTACCTTAACGCGTAACATCGTACGATTCAGCGATCTAACTCGCGATCTTAATAACCTTGAATGTGATAAATGACTAAGTACATGTTTGCTAATAGTGGTTTGGCATGGCTGAAACTAATTCTTGAAAAATGATGATGGATAATATTCATTTCAACCAAATTACTAAATCAAAAGCTTACTTATTCTGATTCTTGTGTTGAGAAACAATCAAGCATAATAAGACCACTAAAAATGGGGTCTAACCTAGCTATTAAGTTCTACTAGCCTAAGGTCTTCATCCATGTATAACAAGCAACAACAGCCTCAAGACAATAACTTCAGGGGTTCAAGTAATCCAAGTTAGAGGTATTATCCTTGCTTTGTTGGCTGCAAGTCTGCAACACATTGCAAGGCCTTAAAGTTTGAACTTCAAATCTTGACTAGGCCCTGGGTAATAGCTTAGTGGTCGAAGAATTCAAGTTACGAGTTTTTTCTTACTTCACTAGCAACCATGTAATGTAGGGAGGGTTCAACTCCTGCCAAAGAAAGTTACAAATTGATCTTGTTATGGGCCCCAAACGTACACTACACTTGGAAAACCTACGGATCGCTTAGGTCCCCAGAATTTACCTCCTGTACTAAGGATCTAGGGGAAAGCCATTAGACCTCCTTCGTGTTTGTAGACCAAAGCTTTTTTTATCACAAGGTATCCATTTGATAGATTAGGGCTGCTTTGCTTAGCTTATAGCACTACTAACTAATTAATGACATTACTTGCTGCTCTCATTATGGCAATTTAAAGAATTTGTAAATTGTAAGGTGCTACCTGTTTAACATGTAAGAGTCCATATTCAAAGATTCAACAGAAAGGGAAAAAAAATAGTTAGACATTAGCGTATTCAAATTACTTCATTTCAGATGAACAGAGTTTACTTCATTCGACATGAACAAAGATTTCGGTAACTCACCTTTAAATTAAACATTTACAAGAATGCTTGTTTGGTTAGTATAGCAATCCCAAACTTTGATTTAGCCCATTAATTGAACACTTTAACAAAAGGGAAAACCTCTCCTTTCATGGTAGTTTATTTCAAATTTAAGATATTTTTATTATCTACATCCTCCTCAGATTGTCTAACCTTGCTTGTAGATCACTGTCTATTCCTCCGTCATCAGTTCCTGTAGCTTCAGCTTGGGGAACCTTAGTTTTTGCTGCTGGTGCTGCTACAGCAGATGAAGGTGCATTGAGGAGCTGTAAATAATTCAATATGCAGAAAAAAGTTACGCACTTAATTATGCTGATAGAACAGGGTCAATATAAATTATACGTTATACAACGTAGCAAATCTATTTTTTAAAAAGTAAAGTAAAAATACCTCTTGATTCATATCAATTCCAATTTCATCAAGGACCTGGTTGACCAACTCTTCGGTCTCTTCTTCTTCCTCATCCCCTTCCAAAGCATCATCTATGGCATCTCCCATCACTTCACTCACCATTTCCATTTTCTCATTCTGCATCTCAAATTCTTGCATTATCTTCTGCAGGGCAGGCAAGTTCATCTGTCTGTTCATCGTCCCCATTGCCTTGGTCACCCCTTTCATTGCCTCTCCCATTGCTTGTGTTGATTTCAAAGTCTGATTATCACAGCACACACAAAATCTACTTTATATGCATCAAAATGAAAGCATTAAGAAATTCGCCACGATAATAACCAGATTATGCAGTTTGGTTCCCCAGAAACTAGCGAACAATGCACTTTTCAAATATATATCAACACTTTGTAAAATTAAAATATATTTTTGTTATGCAGCTGGAATTGTGAAAAAATATCAGGCTACCAAATGCCAAAAGTGTGTCACTAGTATTCAAAATCTTAATAATTAGAGTACATGGTGGTTAATGTATACCTGAATCCTGAGGGAGACGCCTTGAAGTTGGGATTTAAGCTTATAGAATTTTTCCACTTGATGCCTTGTCCTGATAAGATCCTTTGCCATCACTTTAACAGCTCCCTAATAAAAACAAAAACAAATCAAAAATCAAATTGAGCCTCAAATGTTTTTCACAAGAACAATGATTATTCATTGTTATGTAGTAAACTTATTAAACCTGTGAATAGACACATATTTATGTCATTGTAATTGCAAAATGACAACCAAAGATTAATTTAGGATATGAAATCAATGCGGTCACCTGAGATAAATGTACAACAACATCCGACAAAGATGAATGGTTAATTGGAAGGTCTTATAACCACAACTTCCCTTGACTTGGAAGGTCTTATCTGTACACAAATTGTGGCTAGACTATGTAATAATGCATAACAGGAAGTAAGAAAACCTACCATCTGCCCTTGCTTTGCACTTTTCTTTATCTCTGCAATCAGTTTCTTCTCTTGTGTTTGTAAACTTTGTCTCTCCCTTTCTATTTCTCGGATTGACTTATCAAGCATCCGCTTATTCTCCCTCAGAAGCTCTGAAAACAACATTTTGTGAATGCAATGAAGCAAATTATTGCACAATATTCAGTTATTTACCTAATACGTAGTACTATATTAATAAATCCAGACAGCCAATTGAACACTTTGATGCTGTATAATGAAACACAACGTGAGAACCTCTATTTGTCACTTATATGAGCTGAAAATTGAAATAGAAAATCCAAAATAATAATTCTGTACATTACCTAGCATCATCAATATATCAGAGTGAAGCGGAAGCTAAAAATTATCAGTATCTAAAGAATAAATAAGAATTTTCCAAAGTTAAAAGAACAGATAATACTATCAGTATCAACATTAGACAACTATAGTATTAGGCCAGTGAGCTTTGATGACTAGCATTACATCAGTGGGCTTTTGCATTTTGCTGGCACCTTCAAACCTAAAACCAGTTGTCTATTGCTGAAAACAAGAATTTCCACTCCTCTGATATAAATGTATAAAGACTCATATTTGTCTACCTATATCTAACTTTTAGTTAGGATTTTATATAAGAATATGTATACCATCAAATAAAACTGAAACCCATACAAAATGTTAAATTCCCAACTCCGGTCTAATAAAACACAATCCATAATTGCAAATTCCAGTCAATAATAAAAAAATAACTTGATTTAGGATCAATTGACATATATAAGCACAGCGATACCCAATATTCAAATTACCAGCAGAATAAGCTCAAATCATACATAATTGTACAGAACACTGGAAATATTATTAGATATTAAACGCGTAGATCTTTATGTGCGTCAAGAACGGACCTGCTGGAGTTTTCCTCTTGCCAAACAGGAAACTCATGGCGACTGTTCGAATGATTGGTCTGCAAGATAAGAAAAATTAAATGGTAATCGTAAAGGAGACCTCTTCTGCTACTTTTCTCTATCTAGGAAGCTGAAGTCGTCTTCTACTTTTTTCTCTTTAATTTCTTTTCATAACCGGAGTATTATTTGGTGACTGTTCCAAAGGCGGATCGGAGGGCCTAGGCAAAAACAAACAAACGTTAATAGTCAATCCACTCGCCCATTGTACCGATGAAGCGGACGAGTGGGCCGCTAAAAACTTTAACCGCATGTCTGGTACCAAATTTTTTAGAAGTTTTTTTAAATAAAAGATTTTTTTTATAGCTTTATTACTACTCTCATCCCTTTTTATTTACTCCCTCCGTCCCATAATTATCTTCATTCTTTCCTTTTTGGTCCGTCCCAAATTTATCTCCTCTTTCCTTTTTTAGCAAAGGATTTGTGGTTCACAACCATTCTTACACATTTCTCTCTCCTCTGCACAACTCTCCACCACACATTTCCCACTTTCTTAATCTCCGTGCCCAGTCAAAACCGAAGTTAATTCTGGGACGGAGGGAGTAACAATTTTTGGCATTTCCAGTTAAAGATGATAAACTTGGATCTAGTATTTAACTAATATATTTATGTGAAGATTGATAAATTAGTACTTTTATGATACTATTTTAGACAAAAGACATTTTCATATTACCAATATTATCATGTATAAATATATAGTCATTCAAAGTTTAACTTCTTCGACTTGAAAAGTCAAATTTTCCTAGATAACAAGGGACAGAGAGAGTATTAATTACTCAAAACAGCTTGTATGCCCAACAGATAAAATCAAATGGAGTATTAGTTGACACCTTTTCTTTTGAAATCTCTTCGCTCACCAAAAGCTTATAGTTACTAAAAGATCAAAAAGTATATTTTCAGAGTTAGTTGTGCCCATTGTTCTAAAACTCGCTAGGCCTAGTTGGACGGTTGAGGGGCGCCTAATGTCTAGACGGCCGATTAGGCCGTTTTTTTACCGACTAGGCCTACAGTTAGGACCGATTAGGATGACTAGGCCTATTAATCAATCTGACTAGATCGATTTTAGAACAGTGATTGTGCCAAACATACGTATGTAACTGAGCTTGTCGAAAAAATTATTTTTCTCATGAGACATATATTTTTACTTCTTGTATAAAAATTGTATCATGAAGTGTAATTTTGAGGTGGTTCTTGCTGTAATGTTTTGATGAAATTTTGTAAACATGTTTACCATGAAGGGTAGGATCTATCCACTAAATTTCACATAGAAATTCAAGTGAAGAGTTAGTTCAATAAATTTTTAAAGATAATTGTGCCAAATTGTACATAAAAGACGTAGTTATTTTCAAAATTTTAATTAATTAACTTTCCGATTGAATTCTTAGATGAAATTTGATAGACATCATCTACACTTCATGATAAACATGATACCCGTATAAAATTTCATAAAAAATGTGTCACGAAACCACCTCAAAACGAGGTCACCAGACGGCGATCCCTGTCCAGAAATATATATACAATATTTATATTAGGCCAACACTTCAAACAAATAAAATGTACTTGTAATAGATGCCCACTGGCCCGCCCAAAAGGCCCAATAGATGAGTGAACACTCCCCCTTCCGTCTAGCTGATCAACATATATCGTCAGGGGGCGGATCGGTCCGGTCTGGGTCTGGTTTTCGATAAATCCGGAAATTACCCGGAAGATGTCGGGTTATGAAAATCAGGGACCGGAACAAAGGCCATTATATTCGGTCCGAGTCAGGTTTTTGGTAGCCCGGGTTCGGTCCGTGTTCGGGTTGGGCCAGTTAAAGCCCGAACGTGAAATATCTCCTTGTTCTTTTATATTTTAACACCTATTTTCAAATAAAATTAATCAAAAATACAAATCGCAAATAATAGCACAAATATTAGTCTCCAAAATCACCAACAATTCAAATCCAAAGAAGATAATTATCTTAATATTTTATTTAAGATGCATATAAATACATAATACTCCATAAACGTTCCTTAAAACTATTATGAAATAAAATTTAAAGATAAAAATGTGAACAGAGTTGCTATAAATATATTTTCCTGATGATTAAACTAAACAAATTGAACATATTTGTAGTCACTAAAAGTTAATAAATCATTTTTTATCCACTGTGATTATAATCATATATTAGGAAATATTTATAAATTTATTTTCATATATTATATTAATTTTATAGTAAAGTTAATTGTTTCAGGTTTTTATCAGTCGGGTCCGGGTTATAAATTTTAAGGCCCATTAATGAGCCCGGAATTTCGGGTTCGGTCCGTTTTCTTTTTCTAATTTGGGCCAGTTAAAAAGAAAAAACCCGGACCGGAATTGGACTGTTTCAAGGGTTTCTGTTCGGTTTTTGCCAGCCATATCCTCACCATCTTCCCCAACTGCAGGATAGTCTGTAGCCAGCCGGTCGTCAACAGCCTAGTCCTCTCCGCGGCACGTTGTTTGCTGCACTTGCATGCTGGGAAAAAACTCCTCTTGCCGTTTTCAGACTCAATACTCAGCCAGGTAAGCTAAATTAAGAATTAAATTTCAGATTTTGTTCAAATTAGAAAAGATTTCAGATTCTATTAGTGATTTTTAATGATATGTGCTTCGGAAAATTTCAGATTCAATCAGCACTTGACCATCTTTTGTTTAATTAATAAGTTGTAGTTTCAATTAGTGGAATTTAGGAACCAAGGAATTGTAAAAAATTCTGCACACCCTTCTTGATTCGATCATTCTGACTTCTGGTCATTATCTTGCTTTTTAGTTTTGAATTCAAGTTTACGTCTTCACTTTATAATCCTGAATTTACTCTCATTTTTAATTTGTGTCTTGTAAAAAGGCACTTGTTCAGTAGTTCATTATTTTTAACCCGACTTCCGATGAGAGGAAGTGATAAATTGTGGTTTAGGTTATTTTGTTAACAACTTAGATTGGGTTAGAGCTTATAACAAAAGCTTAAGTTTCTCTTCCTGGTGTAAAGATAATTACTGAAATACCTTAGCAGGGCACTGTTTTCAACTAGTATTGCAACAACTGTGATCGAATTAAAATATCAATGTGATTTTTTTAAAATACAACTCTGTTGGCAACTTTTCATTAATTTTATTGAAAGCATTCTTGTTAATAGTGGCAATTAGTATAGTTTATGTTTGTCTGTTTGATAAGCATACTCTCAAATTTCATTTACTTCACCAAAAAATTGGATAATCATAAATGTTTCTAGACCAAATTCTGAACATGAATAATTGGAATATACCATAACTCATTATCACAACAATGTGGTTGGTAACTGGTTTAACTAAATTTAAAAATAGTATTTAGTTGTTAACCCTATTTTTTGATATGATAGTTACTTCACCTACTTGTGAGGATCTTTCTAACATTATCTAAATTATCATATGATGTAATGGGTTTTTTGTAGAGTTGAATTTGTGATGTTTTTATTTATTTATTTGAATTTGATGAAAAACTAGTTCATATAAAATATTTGTAAAATTTCTTTTTGTATTTGACCTTTTTACAATTGGAGGTATTTTATATGTATTAGTTTTTGGCCCATGCTCAATTTCTAAAAATGTATCATCCATTGATCCAGAGGTGGAAGCATTTAATTAATTTACAATATTTCAGTTCATCCATATCACCATATGCGCTATAAGGATAAGTATAAGTATAAGTAGATACTTGTTAAAATTTATCTACAAAACAAATAATTTGTGTATATCAATCACACTATTTTCTGTAATAAAAATGGAAATATTATTACTTAAAAAGACATGAAAATAAATTTTACTCGTTTACATTCATGTATGTATGTGGGTTATATAGGATTTTTACTTAGAAAGACATTCTTAACAATTACTCTATCAAGATTTTGAATAAAAAAATTTATAAAAAAAGATACTTCTAATATCTTCATTTTATTAATACTTTAAAATAATAAAATACTCTACATTTTTATATTTTTAAATTAGAACATTTTTTTCTAAATTTATTAATTCTGCATTTTTATATTTATAATGTTTTAGCGATTATTTTATTTATATTTATTATCTTTATTCTCAATTTTATAATGTTTATTTTTAACTTATAGCTATTAATTAAGTTTGTAATTAAACCTTGATGGTTATCAATTATAGACCTCCATCATTTGCAATGGAGCCAAAGACTCATTACTTTTTGGCTTAGGAATGTGTTGTAATAAAGAAAAATGACTCACTAAACTGTCTACGTTTCTTTTTTATGAAGCAACAATCAGTCTATGCAAATTTTGACGCGATTTTCACCATATGTCATCCGGAAAACAGTCTCTCTGTGCTTTAGTACAGAGATAAGGATGCGTACATCCAACCCCCTTACCCCATCGAAGGTGGGAGCCTTAGCGGCATTGGGGTAATGATAATGATAATGATGATGATGGTTATCAATTAGAGTAATTAACTAATGTTTCATTAAGACAACAGAGTTTCACTTCTTTTGGCTCCAAATAGATTTCTATTTGGATGTAAAGTTGTAAACCATATTCTCATTCTATATATAAAGATACAGTGTAGGACTAAATACGGAGTACTATTTTTGCGCCCTAGTTTTTCCAATTTTATGGGCCTGAGGCAATGGCCTCTTGGTCTCAACAGTAGGCTCAGCCCTGCTTATGTTAAATGACCTAACATGAATCTGAAGTGTTATTTTTAATAATTAATAATCAAGTTTCCATTTCTATTTGTTTTTATTTTATTTTATTTTTATTTTCTATCTTTCAGTACCATCTGTATTGAGGTTTCATGGATCCAGAAGCTTTGGCAGCCTCCACAGCTGCAGCCAAAACAACCAGGAAGGTTTTAACTCTCGTACCCTTGGTGCAAATAATTTTGAACACTTGTCATCATTATTTGTTTGAGAATCATTTAGGATTTGATTAAGTGCATATGTTTTTATATGTCATTGTTTTTAATTAAATTTGATTTTTTATTGTTATCTAATTTTGAAGTTATACTTTATCTATTGTATCATTCTGTGCGATTATACTAGAAATCTTTATTTTTGAGCTTATAGGTGAGATTTGCTCCGAAAGGTCCTCCCCGCAGAGCGCAGAAGCTTGTTTTGCCTAAACCGTAATTATTCTCTTGCATGGACAAATTAATTCACAAAAAGTATTGTTCATATTTAAGTTATGTTAATTTGGGTCAATATTTTCAGGGAAAAGGTTGAAGATGATATTGATGGTGTGAAGGCAGAGGAATTGTTGCGCCGTTTCAATGTATTATCACTTCATATTTGTTAATGGTTTTATTCTTTAGCGATGTTTTAATTGAGTTTTTTTTATCTGTAAAAAATCACCATCAGTCTTATACCATTAATTGAATTTAATTTAATTATAGGAATCTACTTCTTTTAGAACAACCAGAGCAGATAAAAAAGGTTAGTTCTCTTTCAAGTCTTCTAGTATATGTTCTCAGGAGATATTGTTATTGATCCTATGTATTTATCTACTAATGTGACCGTTTACTATTGATGTTTATGGGGTTTGGTGGTGAGTTTAGGATCAATACAGTTTGTTTCTGGAGATTCCTCAAAGTCCTTTGGATCACATCTCCTTCCCAAGGGTGCTAACAAATCTTCTAACGGCAAGTAGCTTTTCCGTTGTATTTTTATGATCTAAATATTAATTAATTATTTTCTTAGGAAGTCCATAGAGAATGCTTGGATGTTTAGTTGACTAGGCAATTTTTTCGCAGATGTTATCCCGGGGCAGGAACCTGAGAAGGAATACAAAGAACCTTGGGTTGGTGAAAACTCTAAACCGGACATCATTTGCTAAATACTATGATGATTATAATACTATGAATAATAAGTATTATTAGTATATTACTCCATCTATCTACAAATGTTCTTCCAGTATTAGTTTGTATAAACTTTTAGGAGTTTGGGCCACCCCGTGTAGGAACAGAGGAAAAGAGTAAAAATGTGAAAAGAGAAATTTTAATAATGGAAATGGTTTTTTAGGCATACAAGAAAGAAAGGATGTAGAACTTTTGGAAATGGATGGAGTAATATTATTGTTGATCTCATCCAATGAAAATAAGTTAGTGATTGTTTTTACTCTTTACAATTTTAGGATTATTATTCATATTATCCTATTACTCTTCCCTTGAGAAGGCCGTATTCTGGAAATCCAGGTATCTATCTTCTCATATAATGATATAATAATAAGTATTACGTAGTAGTATGTAGTGGTTTTGTCTTAAAGTATTTGTGCTTCATAATTGTTTTTCTTTCGTTTTTAGAGGTTCTTGATGAGAAGGAGTTTGGTTCACAGAACTCTAATTACAATGAAAGTTCAACAAATTCGGCTGCTGAGCTTGGTCTATTTGTTAGTCCACTAATCTCTTGGGCTATGATTGGATATCTGAAATTTGTAGGGGAAGGGGAAAAGATATTAAAGAAAATGATTTTTTTAGTGTTTACTTTTACTCTTAAGCAATACGAATGCAAACCAAAACATCTAATTATTTTAAATACTTATATTTTTAAACTATTACAATAAAATGTTTATGTATAATGAGTTCAATAATATTTGAGATTGAAGCATTTTTCAGTTTATTCTCCATTTCCTATTCTTTTCTTCCAAACTCCCTCTCTATTTCGTCATTCTCTCCCCCTGCATCTTTCGAATTCCAATGAGTTTTTTGCAGTTGAATAAATTCTAGATCTGATAGTTTTTAAAACTTCATGACTTAAATGTATGGTAGGAGGAGGATGGGGAGGACAATATGTTCTTCTTCCAATTACCGTTACTTTTGCCTACGATAAAGCAACATGCCAATGCATCAGAAGGTAGTGAGACAGCCAACAACCCAAAGGCATCAAAAGCCAGGCTATGTAAGCTTGATGATTTGAATGGAGGGTTTCTTGGCAAAATGTTAGTTTACAAGAGTGGAGCTATCAAGATGAAGCTCGGAGAAACTCTTTATGATGTAAGTTTTTTACTCCCAGGGTTTATATATTTGCATGAGTTATGTTTGCTGTACACAATTTTTGTACGCACTTTATACTTTTTTTACATGGAAAATTGCTCTATAGCTCAACCACTGTATGAATTGCACAGCAGTGTGGGGCCTGTACAAAAAATGCATACAAATGGATATATCCTATTTGCACTAAAGTTGGATTTTTACATGGAAAACTGCTCTATAGCTCAACCACTTTATGAATTGCAGGTTTCTCCGGGTACGGATTGTATCTTTTCTCAAAACGCCGTGGCGATGAACTTAGAAGAGAAGTACTGCTGCAACATCGGTGAGCTTAACAAACGCGCTATTGTAACTCCAGACATAGACTTCATTCTAGGAAGTATGCCTGATTTATGATTGGCTCCGTTTTATCACGATTTTAAGCTTATTTGTTTTCCATAAAGTAGCAACTAGGAAATCAATTTTGGCAATTACATATTTGATTTATAAAAAAGAGAAGTATTGATTTAATTGGGGTATTTTATTGCTCCTACAGTATTGAAATAAATTTAATGATTTTTTTGGGTCATTCGTGTTATCCTTTCACTTATCAAGTTATTATCCTGAATCTCAACCAGACTTCTTGTTCAATCACTTCGCTTGAATAGAAGTGCCAAAATAAAAAAAGAACTACACCGAGCATTTTGAAATCGAGTTAGTACTTAGTACTATATGCATATTCTATGACCTTAACGGCTCTACCCTCGAGATTTTCTACAATGTAACACCAAATCTCTTTTATAGACTATATAAAAAAAGAATTACAGTTTTGTATTCTCTTTTAGGTATTACCTTTGCCCCTATCTTACCAGACCAGATTGGACGGGTTGCCCCAGAAACCGGTGACCAGACACCTAATCTGGATCGGGTGTATATAAACTCGTATGTGTGGGTAAAACTGGATATACCTGCTGACCCGTCTTAACCCGGGACGGCCCAAACCTAGGAAACTGGTAATTTCTCCAAGAACCGGCCCAAATGCAAAATATATTCCCAACTGGATTTGATCCCGCGTTTGGCGAAGCAAAGAGCAGCCAACATTCCACTTTACCAATCGTGGGAGTTGAAACTTGGTGCTCTTATAACAATGGTACAACAAAGAGTGACATGCATACCCATAAAAGTGAGTTTATGTGGTTAAGATTGAATTGATAAAGTAAGAATGATTTTGAATCACAAAATTTTTACTAAATTTGATATTAGTGAGACGAACCGAAAAGAAAAATTGGGACAATTGTAGCGGGACGGAGTACTTATTTCTTTAACATACCATGTTAAGCTTCCAACTATCAATTAATATGGGGAAAAGGTGCAAATATATCCATGTACTAACAAAAAAAGGTCAAATAAGCCCTTGTTTAGGAGGCTCTATCCGGCCGTTGTCATTTGGGGTGGTTCCCGGTGGATTTTTTTGATGAAATTAATTGAGCATCTTATTCATCAAGTCTAGTTTACTCATACCAAATTTCAGCTAAAACTTCAATCGGGAAGTCATTCAAATGAATTTTTGAAGATAACTGCGCTTCTAACTGTGCAGTTATTTTCAAGAATTCATTTGAATGCCTTCTATATTGAAGTTTTAGCTGAAATTTGGTATGAGTAAACTAGACTTAATGAGTAATATGCTCAAAATATTTCATCAAAAAATTCCACCGGGAACCACCTCAAATGGCGATGACCGGACAGATCCTCCTAAATAAGGGCTTATTTGACCTTTTTTGGTTAGTACATGGGTCTATTTGCACCTTTTCCCATTAATATGAAATTGATATAATAATGATGTATATTATTGCTGTTATTTGATTATATATGAAATAAGTACATATTTATAACTAAAATGAAGATTGTTTACAAAAATGTGATTAGAGTAGTAATGAAATCATAATAACTTATTTTCAATTTTAAAATTAAGTTATCATGACACTACATTGTAGTAACTATTGGTCATATTTGTGTACATAAGTTTTATTTTAGTAATATTTTTGTAAAGAAACCCGATTATGTATTATTTCTATTTCACTAACCTATTGTGTATATAAAATTTAAAATATAAGTAAAAATACTTTTATGATATTTTAAGATTTTGTAATAAGTGTAATTATGTTCATATATATATATATATATATATATATATATATATATATATATATATATATATATATATATATATATATATATATATATAGTACTCCCTACGTCTCGTAAAATTTTTCTCGGTTTGACTTTGATCGGAGTTGTGGTTGAGTAAGAAAAAAGTAAATGAATGATAGTCACACAAACTTTTCCAAAAAAGGAAACATGGAGAACTTTTTGTGAAGACCCAAAAAGGTAAGTTAGAAGAATTTTCAAGGACGAAGCGAATATTACTTTTGAAAAATTTTTAATATACTTGAATGTCCATACTAGATACATAATTATTTAAAAAAATACTCTATTTTATACATGTATTCAAAAATATCAAATTAAATAATTGATATAATTAGTGCTAAAACTATATTTTAGAATATTATGGATTATGGTCTTATGGATGTGTTATCATTGATAACTTATCAATGCTTACTAGTTTTATAATTATTTGATTATTGTGCACAATAATTACCCTTATTTTTAATTTTATATATTGTTATATACTCCCTTCGTCCCCCTTATATTGTCCCGTTTTACCTTTTTGGGAAGTCCCATTAATATTGTCTCATACCATATTTGGTAAAGTTTGTGTGGCTCTAAATCATTCTTACTTTATTCTTACTTTATCAATTAATATCAACCACACAAACCCACTTTTCTTAATAATCGTGTCACCCTCCTCCGTATCAATATAAAAGGGACGGAGGTAGTAATTGTTAAATATAAATGTTGACCAAGTTTTCCCGGCGATGATTGGGCTGACCCGCCAGATACGAGCTAACTCACGACCATGTCATTCGTCCGGGTCGCTTTCCAATCCGGTTCTTGTAACATAGCTTTGCCAGCCATCTTTGTCTTTGTCTCTTTGATATACAATCTACGTAGTAATATATACGTAGTACTTTATCCATGAAGAAAAATTTCTATTTGATTTAAGTACGTTTATTACGAGTAATTGAAACAATTTTTTTTTCTTTTTTTTGGGGGAAGCTGTCAAATAAGTCGTCTTACTATAATGAAAACATCAATTAGCTACTTGTACACACAAACATTCAAAGAAGCCCTCAAATTGCACAAAAGCATCCAATTATTCTTTTTAGCGGGTTAGTTGCCGCCTTGATGGTTAGGGAGTGACATGGGCTACCATGTAGCATTATTATATTTGTTTTTCAAAAAGCGGATCAAATCTTGGACTCCGTCTTCTATAAAAGAAAATTTAAAGTCAGTGTCATACATTACTCCTATGGAATCATGTGACATATGTTGCATTATTATCACCACACACCTTTTCGGTGAAAATCTCTACTAAAAAGATGTGTGGTTATGGTGATGTCACATAGGTCATATGACTCATACAGGAGTCATATATGACTTCATACAACTTCTCGTTTCATTCACTCTCCAATCAAAGTGAAACCAACATTGTAAACTGCCTATTTTCAACTGCACCGGTGGATGCTCACCGGAGATGATACTTATCCGACCGGTGAAAAATTAGAGCGGAGGTTTGGGAGTGTTGTGAAGTCGGCGAAAAATGAAGGGTTATTGTTGTGAAGTCTTCGGATGTCTTGGGCCATCTTCTGGCAGATATCATTGAGGAGCTTCAAGGAATCCTCAAGTTTGCCGACGAGAGATAAGGAAAAAAGAAAGAAAAAGGATGTTGAGCGGCTTTATGATATGTATTTCTAATTTCAGTGAAGTTTTTGTAATTCACAGACTAAAGAGGCACGTGGTGACCCTTCATAACCGCCATCTTCCTCCCATAATCCATAGCTATAGGGGTGTTTGGATCTGATTCTGGTGCTCTTTTTTACTCCTAGAAGCTGGGGTGACCAGCTTGTGAAAACTGATTCTGATTCTGCTTCTACTTTAAAAAAGAAGCAGAAGTAGAATCAGTTCCAAACACCCCCATAATCTCCATTGGAACACCGTCACTCCATAGAACTAAACCTTTGTACCCTCCAATAAACCCAAGCCCTCTCCTAAACCAGAAAAGAAATTCGTCGTTGGTGGGACAACCTCGAGACCTCCGCATCCACAATTGGTTTCCGTAAACATCGTAAACATCGGAAATAGAAACCTTTATATGGGACGTCCAAAAAAGGGCCAAATAACTCCTACTATTATACATCTATCATCTAAACTAGGGCTGGGAAAAAACTCCCGACTCCCGACTCCCGATCCCGATCCCGATAATCCCGATCCCGATAATCCCGATCCCGACAATCCCGATCCCGACTAGTCGGGAATTTTTCCCGATCCCGATTAAGTCGGGACGGGACCGGGATTTTTAAAAAAAAATGTCGGGATCGGGAAAATCCCGACATCCCGACATTATATATATATATATATATATATATATATATATATATATATATATATATATATATATATATATATATATATATATATATATATATATATGTATATATATGTATATAATTATATATGAATCTATAAAAAATGAATATACATTTATAAAAAAATCAATATGTATCTAAATATTTGCATATCTTTTTTAATTACTTATTCCTTACATAGATTAATCTTTTACTACGAGTATCTTACAATATCAAACTTCTAAAACTATTCGGCATTTGTCCGAAAATGAATATCTAGGATCCTAACTAAATAGAGATTATTCTTGATCTCGACAATCTAAATCACAACAATATTACAAATTTTGCGGTTCTGATGAACTCTTTAAAAAATTATGATCGAGACTAAGATTTCTTTCTTTAGTAAATAATCATAATATGTATTTATACATTATATTCATTGGTCACAAAGTTTCTCAACGAGTCCACTTAGTTTTGAATTTTAAATAGTATACGTTACACATAGTTCTTTTAGTGATTTTTATAAAATGTTTGAAGTAAGTTTCACTAACCCTTGATAGCTTATTCAAAAATTATACTATTAATTAATTGAAGTTACAACTTACAAATAAAAATTATTCTAAAAGTATGTACTAGTGTGAATTTGAGAGGATAATTATTACAATAAACTTTATAAGTAGATGATGATAAATATGGTATAACAATGAACAAAGAATAATTTTGAAACCGCTAAATATCAAAGTTAGTGTTTCACTAAAGAAATTACATAATTTTATGTTTGATACTTCATTGTCGGGATTTAGCGGGATTCCCGATCGGGATCCCGACTTAATCGAGATTTTAATGTCGGGATCCCGACTTATTCGGGACGGGATACGGGATCCTCTTGTAGTTTGAATCGGGATCGGGACGGGATCGGGATTTGGACCATCGGGATCGGGATCATCCCGATCCCACCCCTAATCTAAACCCTTGCACTAAAAAAACAATCATTGGAGTACATTTACTTCCAAAAAACATCAAACAAATCAATTGACCTGATAAGTGATAACAACCTATAAGTCATCCATATTTTCTTTTCTTTTATTCTTTTTCTTCATTCCCTGGTGGCAGGCAGCTTTACTCCTCAAACCTTTTTCATATTCTTTTGTCTCTTTCTTTGTTCATTTTTTATTTTCTTCCCCCGGTGCTTTCCCTCCCCCGTCAATGCCCGTCATCCCTTTCTTTGTTTTTTCATTATTTTTATTTTCTCTTTCAATTGATTGATGTTTTCTCTTCGGTCTTAATTTTATCACTCTTCTGCTCCTCATTTCATTTTCTTTTTTTCTTGCTTTTTCCCATTTTCTTTCTTTTCCCCTTCATCCCTTCTTGGGATATTTTTTATTCAACCCTTTTGAGTCCCATGTCCTATAAACAGATCAGAACATATTTAAATAATGATAAATTATACAATTACCTATATCAGACTAGACACGAATTAAATAAAACATCAAAGTCTTACACATACCAAACCACATCGTCAAGATGTTTTAGTTCAATAAAAAAACATATGCTACATGTTTTCAAAATCCTTTGCACTGACAATTTTCTAGAGTTAGGCGAGCGCTAACAAGTTCAGTACAAAAAAATGTCTAGTACAAAAAAAAGAATTTAAGAATTGGCAAAAAATTATATAATATTCGTAAACATTATCAATATTCTTCGCACAGACAAACTTTGTAAAGCGGAAAAAATGTCGGAAGAAGAAATTCAGTTTTATAGAAAATAAATGTCGGGAACATATAAAAATGTTCTAGACATGATAAAGGATTTGTATATTTTTTGTACACGTTTTCAAAAAAATCATACCAACAAATTTGTTCTATAAGTGAGGAACAGACAAAATAATCGGTGTAAAAGATCAACTTTTTTTAAAAAAATAATGTGTGCCACAAAAGGAGTACAATTCTTTTATCATTTCTATTTTTTTAATTTATTCTAGACATTTGTTATATGTGAAATTGGACAATCTCCGATTGATATTTTTGGTCTATGAGTTAACTTAGAGAAAAAATTGTTAATAAAAAAAATTGAAAATGTGAATAAAACTTTTTTCTATGCACCTATATATGATGGTCTATAAGAATGTTATGACTGATATTTTTCATTTACGATCTAACTTTAGACACAAAAAAGTTAAGTGCGACAGATTTGAAAAATGTGTACGAAAGTGCATACGTTTTTTTACTGTGTATGAAGTTCCAATTCTAATCGTATAAAAGTTATAAAGTATAATTTCTCCAAAAATAAAATATTTAACTAAAAGGATAAAGTGTAATAGTTAAAGAATGCTAAAGTGTAAAACAGTTTTACGATATTTAATGATGAGGACTACATTTCAACATGAGCAATAACTGAAAGGCTAGAGTGTAATTTCTCCAAAAATAAAATAATTCTTTAATAACATTCACATCTTCATTTTTTAAGAATAAGCATATTTATGAGTATAGTTTATTGAGAAAATTAAATAGAAATGCTGAAAACAATTTTTGGTAGAATACAATAAATAAAAAACGAAATAAGAAAAAAAAAACTAGAGAAATAAAAACCATACATCAAAGTATGCAATTCGTGGAAGATTATCCTTATACAAAACGGAGGTGAGAGTTGATCTCTCTAAAGCTTCAGAGCTCTCTAGGGCGGTGGTCGTTAGGGTTTCGTTTTCCGATTTCGAATCTTTCGAAGATCGGCGGTACTGGTGCGGTAAAGATGATCGAAGGAGGTCGACTGCAGACGGAGATGGCTGGGGTCGGTAAGCAGTGGATTGGAGGACAATTTCACGCAGATAAGGAGAGCCGAGTAGTGCAAGATACGGATAAATTGGCGATTATTGATGCTGACGAAGGGGTGGTCGAGTTGGAGGTGAGCCGCTTTGGTGCAACATCTGCCGACGCAAGTCTGGCCTCCTCCAGAACTACCGCCAAGGGTTGATCGACACAATTTGGAGTTTGATAATTTATTGTTTCTGCATTTTAATTTCCAGGTTAAGATGTTTGTGTGTTGTTTTATTTTATGCTGTAAGACTCTTGCATTAGGTTTGGGGGATGAGAGGTCTGCGGTAATCGTCATTGGTTTTAAGTTGCCCAATTCAGGTCTAGCGAGTTATACTGCTTTTTTTACATGTGGTTAACTCTCAGTCTCGGCCAAGAGCGGATGGTTACATGTGGTTCTTTTATTATCCCGTACCTTTGTTGCATGCTATTTTTATGAATTAAGCCATATTCGATAAAAAAAACCATACGTTTAGGACTTGGGAATGTGGGATGAATGGATGATAGACTAAAGAAAATACTCCGTAAATGAATAAATGATGCATGGCCCACTATTGAGAAAGAAGAAAAGAGTAAAGAAAGGAAAAACAAAAGGAAACGATGAGAGAAGGAAAAAAGAGAAAGAAAAAAAATGATCTTTACCTAGTCTATAGCAGATTAATTTTGTGTCAATGGACAGATCTTTTTTGGTAGTAAATGTATCTAAGTGAACTTTTTTTTAGTACATATGCTTAGGGGTAATTCTAAATGCAGCCACATATTTACTAAATGCAGCCTCATGCTTTTTTCATTCCTATTATATCCTTAGAATAATTCTCCCCCCACCTCAATACTCTGTCCGGATCATGGACGCTCTCACGCTCACATGGCTTCTCTACGCGTGTTCTTTATTCCGGTCACCATAAGCTCCGGTCGCAGTGACGATAAGCTCCGACGAAAGCAGTCAAGAGAAAAGACTGCCTATTGCACATCCATCGGAACTTGGTGGCTATTCAGCCTTTTCCTCAACCCAAAGTGTTGTGCTCAGTCCCTATGCTGAGGCGGCGGGGCTTCAATACAGGCGGCAGAAGGTTGAGGCGCTTTACATGGTGAAGCTGGTGTTTCCGGACAGGGCGATGGAGTAAGAAGGCGTAGACATTCCTTATTCGTCCCGGGCCAGACCTGCTCCTCCTGCATCGGGAAACTCAATTGACTCCTATCCGGCAAGGCAAGGTTAATTAGAGCTACAAGAACTTTTTGAAGGATAAACATATGGAAAATGGCTATGCTAGTAAACCTGTTGCCGGCTATATCATTGAAACGCACATGGAAGATAACTTTAAATCATATTTGCGGGTCATCTTCATCAAATCTGATTGGTTCTGTGTAATGTTTTCATCAATTGCTTATGTTTCTTCCACCTATTCTCAAATCTCAATAGACTTTAATTAATTTGATTTTCCAAATTTATGCACTGCCGGAGTGGGCTGGCGACGGTGAGGTGAGCGCTCTCATACGCCATGCCGGTCAGGGTAGTTTAGGTATTAAAAAAATTTAATGGCTGTAATAGCAATTTGTGGGCTGCAAATAGAATTACCCTATGCTTAGATGATCATTTCACAATAGTACAAAGGCTTATTTGACCATTTTTTCGAAAAAGAAATATACTCCCTCCGTTTCTAAAAGAAACTCACATTCCTTTTTGGATGTTTCAAAAACAAAGTCACACTTCCTTTATTTCCTTATTTGGCAAAGAAATCTACATCCAAACAGTGCCAAACAATGCGAAACAGTGTCAAACAGTGTCTAAACAGTGTTTTTTACAGTAAAGTCAATTTATTTTCTTAATAATCGTGAAGTCAAACCGTGACTTTCTTTTGGAAACGGAGGGAGTACAACAATCCAAAACTATTTATCAATTGCAAGAATACACGTTTGTATCTGACAAATATTGCTTGTTTTGCCGATATCTTAAACATTTCCCAAATTGCTGCTATTAACTCGTTGTTGTTAAGGTGAAGGTATTAGTATTTAGGATTAGAGCTTTGGGTTTTTATTACAAAACCTTATACACTATTTCATAATGCACTTTTTAAGAACATCAAAGTTTTATACGAATCACGCATAACAAAAGTCCTGGGAAGAGTTATTGGGATAGTTTTTTTTTTTTCATAAGAAAATTGCTTTTTAGATCTTAATTAGTACCGACTTAATTAGGATGCCAATCCGTACTAATTAAGCCAGCACTGACCATAAGAAAATTGCTTTTAACCATAAGAAAATTGCTTTTAAACATAAGAAAATTGCTTTTAAACATAAGAGTTATTGTGACAGATGTTTTTTATCATAGGAAAACTGCTTTTCAGCTCACTTAATGTAGATCATCTCCTGGTCATATGCCTACACGTTCAAACTCCAAAAAAGTACGGAGTATTTGAATAGAGCAATAAGATGCCAATTGGACCCGAGTTCAACCCGAACACATTTGATGCACTTGATTAGCCAAAGGAGGTAGAAAAAGCTGATTTGATCAGAAAACCTACTCCCCTGTCCCTTATAACTTAGACAAAATTGACTGACACATAGAATAACAAAGTAAAAAATGTGGAGTTGAGGTTTGTGCATAGGAAAGAGAATTAACAGGAACCACAACGCTTTACTCAAAGTGAAAAGTGGTGATCAAAAAAGAAAAGTTGGAAAATTCTAAGGGACGGAGGGAGAATCACATATGAGGATGCAAATCATCATGCAAAACACAATACAAACCATAAGCCTTTTGTTGGTGAAAATAAGGCAGTGGAAGAAGACAAAAAGGGCCAACAGTAGTGGTGGTAGCCGTTAACCCTCATTTTTGTTATCTATTAGTGGGTATAACCTTTCTAGTCCTTTTCCTGCAATGTCACCAGTCCAATTAGCAAAGTTCAATATGAGATCGTCATCGACACACACACTGGTCTGCTCCTCAACATCAGATGAAGTAGCTATGCAAGCAATGATTGAAAGATTCGAAGAAAAGAGTTGGGAGTTTAAAATAACAATGTATAAGCAAACAAAGCAAATTCTCATTGGAGAGATGAAGATTCCAATTTTCTTAGTGTTGGTCAGAAATGAGAAGAACATGTAAAACATATGCGTAGGTCGCACTTCAAAATGTGTAAGTTTCTAAGTAACCCATTAATATCGATTTGAAATGCCTAAATAGTCTAAATTTAGTAGGATGCACCCAGAAAACATAAACCCCCTGATCGATGCAACCATTTGGTGCCCATTCATTAAGTATATCTTCTAAGTTGCACAAATCCATGAATCACCGATTGAGTTGCCTCCTAGCCAATGCAGGAGCTCTTTTAGGGATGTACACCTTGTACTTCACCTAGTAAATAGGTCAAACAGAGATAGCATTCGAGTCCAAACATGACCTAAACTTTGAAAACGATGAATCAGAAATAGATAGAACATTGTATACCTGTACCACTTCACCACTCCTCATGACAGACATTGTCTTTTGCTGAAACTGTCCGCCATCCTTGACCTCAGCAAGGTCCTTAGAACTATGCTCTTCCAATGTTCTAATGCCAGAAGTAGGTCCAACCATAGCAGAACTTGTGGCATTATTTATCTCAGGAAGAGTATGACTTGCACTGTCGTTGCCATCCGATGGATTTTTATGGGAAAATGCTCTTTCCATTGTTGAGTGAATTTCTGCTACATCAGTTTTAGATTCATCATGGGAAGCAAATGCTTTACTGTGATCGTCTCTACTAATGTTCTTAGACAGTGCATAGTCATCACACTTTTGGATATGACTCGGTTTAGTGACTTCAGGTTCAAGTTTCTTATATTTATCTGTCACATTCTCTCTTTCAACAATTTTGGGATGCAATATTTCTTTACTAGATCCACTCTTGCTGTTCTGTCCGGCAACTGAAATTACTTTTACATCCTTAGAACCTTCCTGCTCAGCTAACATATTGCCAAGCTTTACAGGCTTTGAAAGGGACAATTGATTTACTTTCTGACAAACAGTAACTGGTGATTCTGCTTGAACCTTTCCTCGGAATTTCCTCAGATTCTCCAAGGCCTTCTGCCTCAAAATCAGCTCAAGGTCATTACTGCCTGAAGAAGTTGCATTAACAGAGACCACACTGTCAATCACTCTCCCTTCTTTCTCAGATTCTCCTTCTAGGCTCTTCATCTCATCCTGATTTATAGAGAGATTAGAAACTCTCTTCCCACTTGATCTATGTCCACTTATTACATCATTGATGACACAATCTTCCTTAACCATCATCTTCTTTACCAAGCTGCTCTTATCAGATACAATACCAGAACGGCATTCTAACTTATCTTCTGCTTCATTATTTTGAGATAGATTGTTCTCCTCATTTTCCTCCTGCTGTGGGTGTTCTACAACGGTAATGACAGATTTTAGGCGCCTACCATGATTCAAGCTCACATGTTCCTCCCCCTTTTGAAAAACACTGTTGAAGTCGGACTGGTCCTCAGCTGAAAGAGAAATGGCTGACTTGGTTCTACTTTCCTTAGCTTCAATTTTATGTTTATCTGGATTTATTTTATCTCTTATCTTATTCCTAGACCTGCTTTCAAGCTCAACCTCCTCACTTTCACTGGGCTCACTTTCACAACTTGAGCAGCTCAAAGAATCACTAGTAGCAGAACTGATACTTAAATCTCTCCTTCTCTTCTTTTGATGCTTCTCCTTATGTTCAGTGTTACGTTTTCTTTTCGACCTTTTCTTTTTCCTCGAAGGGGCGGAATCCTCTTTGCTCTCCCGGTTTGATGATACCCTCCTCTCCGACCGTTTCTTTTTACTTTTCACATCAGCTCGTGAGCGTGAACGACCACCTTTCCTACTTCTATAGTCCTCTTCCGAACTGGAAGAGTAGGAAGATATTGAACTTACAGAATCATCATCTGAGCAGGATGAAATGGAACGGTGGCGACGTGAGGGTTTCTTCTTCGATTTTCTACTCTTCTTACTTCGAAGAATCTAAAAATGCAACACATACAAATTCATTCTATTTGAAAACAGATAGAAGCATCCACAAGGATCCATTATAAGTAAAACATGAGAAATGTTTGCTGCAAAAACAAAAAGGCGGAAGCTTTATGACATACATTTGGCTGTAAATGCTTTCCTCAATCACAGAGTGTCTTGGGTGATCAAGGGTTTTATCAATTTAGAAATTTATTAGAAAACTTAATAACAAAACCTATTCTAAACGATCAAGATTAGCATTCTCGAGTGTGAGTGGATATATCATAATGATAAAGAGGAGAAGAACCTCAGAGCTTTTCCTTTTGGAGGATTTTGACTTGTGACTTCCCATCAGGCTTCGACTGTTCTTCTTCGCTTACTTCAATTCCCAAAACAAACAAAAAGAAACTCGGAAGAACAAATGTTAGATGTAAATCAATAAAAAATTACAAAAAACAACCGATAATTAGAAGCATGAAACTGCAAAACAGGGGAGGGTTAGAAGATTTTGTGGAGAGAAATGTTAAATGTTGCAAGACAAAGAACAGAGATTTTTGGGGATAAAGGCGGAACGCAGTGAATCGGAGGTAGGATGGATGATCCCTTCCCTCTGCAAGTTAGTTTTGCGCGATAAAGTTCCAATTTTATCCTTGGGTTCAATGTTGGACTTGTTAAAAAACGCAGGAAAAGGCCCAACCGTCATGAGCCCAACCCTATCAAGGCCTGGTTAGGCCTTTAAGCATAATTTGCCTTTTTCATAATTCATTTCTGTATGCACAATTTAAAATTTTAAATATCAGTGGTATCAACAATATATGGTCTGCCATTAAAAAAAAGCATTTTGATCACCTAGTTTTGATTTTTTTTTTCAATTCCAGTTTTGAAAACATATTTAACAAATTAGTTTCATATTTATATAGTTGCTCTTGCTCCCATTTAATGGCCTAGCACACTTGAAATCCTAGGTTGCATACATCTGTATACGAAAATCGTCCTGTAATTTTGACTTTATCAAGTTTTAGTTCAATAATTTCAAAAGTTGTCAATTTTAGTCTAGTAATTTAAATAGTGGCCCAAAATTATCTTTTTCCTCGAGAATTGGAAAAGAGTAATTATCTCAGTAGACAAGGAGACAGAAAATGGAGAAGGAACTGAACTGAAATATATGTATCCAGAAAACAAAAGTGTTCATAGGTAAATAGGTAATGCCTCACCATTTGAAATTTTGAATTGATATTGTCACATTCTTTTCTGCTGAGATGGTTGCACATTCTTTAGTTTTTACCATTCTTGCGAAATGCTATTTGGAATCAATTATTTAAAGTATGGAACCAAAACTGAGCAATGTCTAAAAACAGGATGAAAAGTTTTTTTAAAATACACCTGTCTTCAAGAAGATTTTTAATGTACCCAAGTGCACATCTTTCAGGGGATTTTTAAATGACCAATTATTTTTAATATACACCTGTCTCCAAGTCCATTAAATCTATGATTGGGAGGATTCCAGGGGATAGAGAGCTACTCCGGAGCAATTATTTAAATTGTGGAACTAAATCGATAAAATGAAAGTTGATGAGGATAACAATTGGTCATTTTTGCTCATCTTTCATCAAATCAGACTTCCTCTATCCAAGTCCTTTAGTAATGCTGGTTTTTGCTTTGTTAACCAGTCTTCCAACAATGGTGCTCATCTCTAGGCTATGGGCTCGTTTTGCTTTGTAAATTGCAACGAATGGTTGAAATTGTCCACCTGTTTTTTTATCTTGTTGCACATACTGATAAGTGATCAGGGTAATAAATGTCTGATAATAGGAAAATTTCCTAGATGAAGTTGTTCCACATGCAGGGATAGTTGAAATCTCACAGATGAAGTTGTTTGCAGGGATAGGTCAAACATACAACTGAGAACCGAATGCAGAACTCCAGAGTTCGCTGAGGTTGCGACTGTTTAGCCAACTATTGGTGCAAGGATAGACTCATAGAACATCAATAAAGTATGCATTTGCTTGTCGAGTGGACCTTCCATCCGACTCACAACTCACAAAAAAAAGCAAAACAAAAGCAGATATATAGACTACAAGATTTCATGGAAAGATACAATGTCTATATTCAGCCATTCAGGTGGTTGAGGGAATAAATAAAACAAGGCTCGTCTATTTCTTCCTACAGTCAAGAGACTACAACTGAATCTGGTATGGCAGGGACATACCAACCATGATGAATCTCGACGGCTTTCTTTCGCCTCGCAAGTCGAGACTTCCTCCTTGCACCTGTGTTCCTGTGGAGGGTTCCCACCTTCACAGCTTTGTCAATTACAGAATATGCATCTCCAATCAATTTCTCCACACTAACAACTTCGTCTTGCTGCGCATCTTCCTTCTTCCTTAATACATCTAATGCTTCTAACACCTAACATGGTAAATTCAATTACCAGAAATGCACAAAGTACAAAAAAAATGTATTTTTCCCTTAAACTATAGCGGTCGGCAAACCTAGTCCCGCTAAAATATTGCTTTCACGATGTAGGCCAACACTTAAAAAATCAATAATGAAGTCCTGTAGCAAACTCCTTTCAAAGAAAAGTTCTGTAGCAACCTTTAAATTGCAAAATTCAGTAGGAAACTGCATTCAAGGTAGAGGAATAAGTGAAATGGCAATTTTATTAGGATTTGAGAAGGAAAAAAGCATTTTAAGAAATAATAACAAAAAAAAGTCACAAATATTAATAAAGGCCTTTTTAAAATACAATGAAATGGTCACATCACCATAGTTTCCTTGATTTTTAATTTAAATAATATTTTGCAGGGAACTTTGCAATCCTTGGTGTTTGAAGACCAAATTGTCAATAATTAAGGAAACATCAATTAGTTGCTACTCGTTTCCTCATTGGTATATTTAATTGAATTTCTGGATATGCAACAAGACAAAAACATTGCAATAGCTTTGCTTTCAGTAGTGTCCTATAATCAACAAACATTGTTGTAGCATCATGAAAGGCTTTTAAGTATCTTAAGGTGTCTTATAATGAAAGCCTGCAGCATGAGGAAAATATTACACCACCAAATTCCAGTACTCCTAATTATGTGACACCCTCAAATGCAGATATATTTTATTTACCTGGCCCAGACGAACAACTTTATCTTAAACTATATATACTAAATGTAATCCATAAAAATGACTCTCTTTCACATATTTATAGTAGCTTCAGTACAAAATGTTTTCAAACTCCAGTAACATAGCTGCATTCAGTTTTGAACTCACTACTCCATCCACAAAACATAATGGCAGTGTAAAAGGATGGATGGATACATCTACTCGGTTATATCAACAAGCTAAGCAATACATTACACAATATTAATAGCTCTATCCATCACAAAAGACATTTAGGCATTTGTATTCATTCCATAAAAGTGCTGCAAAAGGTGCTTCTGTAAAGCTTCATGAAATCCATTGAACTTCCTACTTTTGCCGATCCGCTTTTCATTGTTAAAAGACAGGGTAGGTTTTCATTCCATCCTAAAGCCTCACCAATTGTAGGCATGAGATATCAACTTAAAAAGTTGGGGAAAAGGTAAATGATGGAGAAGGTCACAAGCACAAATAAAAGTGAGTGTCCAATACTCCAATGATCAAAACTCGCATAAGAAAGCAGCAATTGCTCCAAGCAGAAATAACAAATATAGTACGTCTATTTGCTTGTTTTACTGACCACTTAAAACATAGAAAAACAAAGGTAAAACTTTTAGGATGCTAGATTTTTCAGTGCTATTACGCAGGGTATTTCACCTCTTAGTTGTTATCTGAGTTGGGTTCTTTAGGGGGTATAGTTGATGGGTTTTTTCTTAATTCCATATCCACTAAATAACTGAGCATGAGAGTTTCTTTTCATCAAGATCCGATCATATCATAGATAAGGAATTTAAATGTAGTTTTTTACAAAATAGAGAAATTAATACTCCATAAGTTTTTAATAAATATTAGAATAAATTCCACTTTTGGTTCTACTATTATCGCATCAATTCCACAATTTGTCTATGTCTTTGACTTTGACCACTATAGGTACATCACTATTGAATTTTTGTCCAAATATGGTCCTCTCAAAGTTAGTAGCAGTTAAAATCTCTGGAAAATGACCACAAATGGTCAAGAAACATTAGTCAAATATTAAAAGTGGACAAAGTGAAAGACATTAGTCAAGTATTAAAAGTGGACAAAGTGAAAGACATGGACCAAGTGTGTAATTGATATAAAACTCATATAGGACCAAAAGTGGAACTAATTCTAAATTTCATACAAACAATGATAGAATGGAAATCCTCATAAACAACTAACCCAGGAAGTAGAACTTTAACGAAAAAAGCTCATGTATGACACAGAAGTAGGTTTCGATTGTAGCAATCCATCAAGAGCAATAAGTAAAGACAGGAGAGTATCACACGGAAATCAAAAACTGAAATTTTAGTCAGAATGGAGCCAAAACTGTAGAAATTGGAAACTTTTTTACCTTCTTCATTCGAGTTTTAATCTCTGATTTGTGCGCTCTGTTGTAAATGCGCCTTTTCTCAGCTTGCCGCGCCCTTTTAGACGCCGAATCCGCCTTCTGCTTCGACTCAGCTTCGCACACAATCGACCGACGAATTGGTCTTTGCAAGGGCATCAACTTAACGGCACCTGAAATCATTTTTTAGATGAAAAAGTAGGGATTCAGATGACAAAATGAATGACCAATCTGGATAAAAAAACAGCTGTTTACCTTTTGAGAAGAGGTTGAGAGAAGTGTTGGCTGAGAAGCTCGGGAAAGAAGCGTTTGAAGGAGTGGAATTAACATTGAGATTCCTGAACTTTCCAGTGAGGCCCCAGCAAGTTGAAGACGAAGCAATACAAGCTCCCGACATTGGGTTCTATATCTACAACCTCTCTGTGGTAAAGAGAAAGCAAGAAGCTATCTATCTAATCTTTATCGGCGGCCATTAGTGGCTATACTTGGATGTACTCTAGAGTTCAATTTGAGGAGTCCGTATATCTTACAACCGGCTGTACCGTAAGTACCGTCCAGGCAAATTTCTTCTTTTCCGCTGCTATGATGTGTTGCCGATCTTACGTTCCTACTTCTTTTTCTGCTGATTTCTCATATTCTCTCTCTTATTCCTCCCTCATCCGTTCCCTTGCTTTATGCTTACACCTTTTTCATCTTTTTCATTAACAACATTTGCTTTCCTGCTTCTTTCTTTCTCTTATTATTACGTTTCATTGCTTTCTTGCTTTTTTTTTTCTTTAACAACTTTTACTTTTTCCATCAACCTTCTAACTTATTTTTTTTAAATTTGTTCATTATAAAATATTATAGTTATTACTTTTTATTTTTCTTTTTAAAAGTTTGAGATGAATATTTATTAATTTCTCAATTATTGTGTTCTAATTACTATTATGAGTTCTGTGTTATACTAAAATGAGTATAATGTAAAATAAATCCGCATGAGTAAATATTATAAGAAGAACATGATTATAATTTTAATTCAAGGAAAGAAATACCATAATATATTTTTAATATAAAATTTTTATATATCTCATTGTTATGTATAATGATAATTTAGTAAATAGTTAATTATGTATCTCCCACATGTACATATTATTGAAAGGAATAATATAACGATTAAAAAAATGAGCATACACAAATGAATATTTAGACACATTAGAGAATTCAAATGAACTGTTGAATTTTTTTATGCTCATTTTGTAAGTTATGTATGCTCATCTGGTATTGGTATGAGCATCAGACTTATTATGTTGAGTATTATGAGGCTAATATTGAGCATCGTGATTCTACTTTATATTTCTAATTCACTTTGTTTCTTTTATTTGTTTATTATAAAAAATCTAAATATCTATAATCAACTGTTAAGATTTTAATCTAATGTAATATAATACTTTTGAAATGAGCATTGATGTGATATTTTAAAATGAGTATAACATCAGTACCAAATGAGCATACATAAGTTACAAAGTGAGCATTGATATGAAAATAATAAGCTTTATTAGTTGAGCATCAAAACGTTTTCATTTAGCATCAAACCTCTTGTATTGAGTATTAGAAGCATGGAATTGAGTATTACGATCTTTACTCTCGTGTCCATAATAGACTCTCATGCGAATCTAATGTAACATGATAATTTTGAAATATGCATTAATATAACATTTTAAAAGTGAGCATCAAATCAATACTAGATGAGCATACAAAACTTACAAAATGAGTATACAAAACTTACTAGATGAAATATACATTACCTGATGTGTTCAAATATTCATTCGTGTATGCTCATTTCTTTTAATCGTTATGCTCATTCGAATATAACATACACCTTTTCTATAATATGTACATCTAGTAGATTCGTTATTAACAATTGTGTATGCAGATTTATTTTATACTATACTCATTTTAGTAAAACACAAAACTCATGTTAGTAATTAACACACAATATTTAATAAACTAATAAATATTCATCTAAAAATTTTAAAAAAAAATAAAAAATTAATACCTAGAATATTTTATAATAAACAACTTTAAAAAACTTAAGTTAAATTAGAAGGTTTCATAATAATTGAATAAAAAAACTCCAGCAATAAATAATATTTTATACGGTTTCATATAATTGAATAAAAACTAGAGCAAAAAGGTAGTTAAATAAAAAAAAAATATAGAAAAAGAAAGAAAGAGAATAACAACTAACAAGCAAAAGTTACCTACGAACAAAACAAAACGAAAAAGAAAAAAAAAACACAAAGAGACGGAGCAGCATAAAACGCAGGAGCGGGCAGGGGAAGTAGCAGCGAAAAACGCAGGAGAAGGGTAGGGAGCAACTTAATAATTGGACTGTAAGTTACATCTAATTACAAAAATGCCGGCTATACCATGCCCATGGTACAGCCGGCTGTACCATATATTTTGCCCAATTTGAGTGTATTTAAGATTAATAAGGGGATTTACAATCTTGTTAATAGAAAATTGGGAGAATTCAAAAAATAAAATATGACTAAACAGAAATATTAATGTTTGAAATTCCAAAATAATACTATGACAATATTTACTGTCATCTTTTAATCATGACCGTCTTACAGCTGCAGTACCATGCATTCAACACGGCAATACTTATTGTAAATAACAATATTTTTAAATCATTATAATATTTTTCAATTATGACAGTAATAACTCCTCTTTCGCAAAGGAAAACATAGTAATTCTATATTGGAATATTATAACAATCAAGCTTTGAGGTACACATTTTCATACACACACCTACACACTCATGTTTGTGAAGAGTATTTTTTGTCTGTATATAGATATAACATATTTGAAAATACGTTATGTCTGTATACAGACAAAAAAATACTCTTCACAAACATGAGTGTGTAGGTGTGTGTATGAAAAAATGTGTACCAATAGATTTTTTGATATTGGAATTTCCAAAGTTGATTACTCGTATTTAGCACAATTTTTCTAAAAGTTCATAAAGCATCTCTGCATCATCCTTGAGTTTTGCTTAATACCCCTATTGTCTCGTTAAAAGGTTCTTACTTTCGTTATTTGGGTGTCTCATTTAAATGTTCTTATTTCACTATGAAAATAATGTACTCTTTTTAATTACATATTTACTCAATTTTCTCTTTCATATTCATTACATGTCAAGTCTCACAATGTCTCATCCTCCATTTTATCTCCTTTTAATTGCTTTCTCCTCCATTTTATCTTAATTCAATTACTTTCACTCTATATGAGTATTTTTTCTAAATTTTCTTTTTCCTCTCTTTTTTTTACCAAAACTACTTCATTTAACCATATGACTAAAACAAAATGTCATTTACTCATGGGAAGAGTAAATATTACCTCCATCCTAAAAAAGAAAAAGTTCTCGAAGAGAATTGCGGCTTTGGAAGCTCAAAAAAATCGCCTCAATCTATGAACGGATTCTTCATAGCAGATGGCATCGGAGATGTCATCTGTGATTTTAGTCTAATCCGATTGTCAAATTGTGAACTCCCGATTGGACTAGCTCAAAAAAATCGCCTCAAAAATCCTCTAATGCTCAACCGCATAATTCTAATGCTCAAACGTTATTAGAGGATTAGAATTTTTTTCTAATGCTCAACCGCATAATTCTAATAACACGGATTCTTCATAGCAGATGTCAGCTGTCAGATTGTGATTATAGTCCAATTTACATCCTCTCATCGTGTCGTCCGGTCGATGTTGGGAGCCCTCAGCGATGGGGTGTCATCCTTTTAGGGGTAGGGAGTTCATAAAATAATACTCCGTATAAATCATGGTGTAGTCTCTTATTTGTCTTATTTACACAATTATTTATCTAAGCTTTAATTGTTTAGTTAAATAATCTCACTCGGAAAACTCACACATTATAAACGCATGCACGTTGAAGAGTCCATCACAAACTCTTTTCCTCAAAGAGTATAAGGGTCTGTTTACTTATTTTTCTATTAAGTCTTGTAGGGATTAAGATGTATGTATTGATTAAGACATCTGTCTGGATTAAGTCACACTAGAATAACAAGTTGTTTACTTTGAGCGCTGAATGTGCAGTTTGAATCGGATCAAGTGACTAATTTACCCTTCTATCTATGACGCTGACTGTCTATGACGCTGAATATATATTATATGTTTACTTTTTCTGTTCCGAATGAAATGACTACAACATACGAAGTATTAAATTCACAAAATATATAGGACGGCAAAAATTCAAGAATACTATGACAATATATTAAATTTATCAAATCTTAAAAATTAATACACATTAATAAGTCAAAACCTACAAAACAATAACCCAATATCATACTCTGTGTTGTGAAATGGAGTATTATCAAAATAGAATAAGAATACAAAAGTTGGTCTGAATAGTCCTAATACAACCACTACAATTACAACTATAAAATATCTTCGACAATATATTTCTACTCCACTAAATTGACCCATTGTGTTCCATCTATTTCTTCTCCACATTCTTGAGCTTCAACTTGTCCTCTTTCAGTGTTCAAATCTGCAATATGACTACAAAAAAGATGCCCAATTGCTCATCTCCTAATACAAAAGTACAGAACTATCACTGCACTATTATTAAAGATTCCCTATACTAGCCAATATGATAAACACGATTGGAACAAATACGTATACATACAGCCAAAATAGTGTTTATGCAAGAAATTTAGGCAGCTTCAATTGATCCCAATTATCTAAAATACAATCAATTTAGGTAGCTCCAGTTTACTTATTTACAGTCAGGTTCTTGGGAAGCTATAAACTTTTTGGGTGATGGTTATTCTCCTAAAGGCTAATCAAAATATGAACACATATTTTTTTCATAGCAAGAATTTTTCAAAATATTTTTTAGAATAAAATTGATACTGATTTAAATGGTCACTGGTAGTAGATAATACAAAACTCAAGAGACTGATGAACCGAAGAAAAATTGTTAACTGATCTGAGGTTTTAGAAATCTGAAATTTGTTAAAGAAAAGCAGCGATTGCCGATTATAATATTGCTCAGTGGCGGCGAAAGTTAATGGTTCGATTCTTCCTACAAATTTCCTCAACTTTAAAAGCAGGTGATGTTAGGTGCTGAAATCAGATGATGGTGAAGGCAGGTATCCGCGATTGGAGATGAAAGGGTGGAGAAGAAGACAGGTGATGGTCGCCGCTGAAATCAGGCGATGAAAGGAGTGTTTGCGATTGTTTCAACTTTAAAAAGTGATTTTTAAGTGATTTTGGGAAAATTGATTAATAGTAAAAGTTGGTAGTGTTTGAGAAAAAGGTGATTCTGAAAAAGTAAAAGTTTGTAGTGTTTGGTAAAATAAGTACTTTTTGTGTAATAGAAAACGTGAGAAGCAGTTTAAAGCACCCTTCTACCTGCTTCCAGCTTTTAGCTTTTAAGTGATTAATTTAAGCAGAAGCTATCATTTGAAAACACTCTTTTCAACTTTTTTAAGCCAAAAGCTGAAAAACGTTTTTTTAATCAACCCCAAACACTCTTGAAGAAGGCAGGTATCAGCTACGAAGGTTGGTGTCGGCGATTAAATTCAAGACCAAGCGCAGAGAATCAGGGGTTAAAAGGGAAACTCCAATAAATGGAGATGTCTGTACCGTAAGGACAACTAATAGCGAGCTGAATGAATAAGCACTAAAGATCTGAGCAAATAAGTCACATTTTACATTAAGTCCAA